AAATCACTACTGAAAGTTTGACACTATCAACATGGAACTTCCAGGTAAGTTTATTATCAATATCAACACCTAAGAATTTAGTACAATTAACTTGATATAAAGTTTCATTATTTAATCTAACCAGATAGCTTTTATCAATTATTGTATTTTTAGTAACAAAGTTAAGCATTTGAGATTTAGCAGAATTTAGCAGCAGGACATTTATAGAACACCAGTCAGAAATTTGATTAGTTACTTCATTAGCTTTGACAATTAATTACTTTGAATATAGTTTCCGCAGATACTAAGATATTAGTATCGTCCTCAAAAATAACAGTAATGGAAGCTTTTGAACAAAATTTCGGAAGATCATCTATAAAAACCAAAAATAGAAGGGGTCCGAAAACAGAGCCTTGAGATACCCTTCTTGATATACATGGTCTTTCAGAATTCAATCCATTCACACAGACCAGCTGACTACTATCAGTCAGGTAAGATCCAAGATATTGCTTGAATATGGTGTTTCCAAGTTAGTATTTTGTCAAGAAAGAGTCCAAGGAATTTTATGTTATCTATATCCCCATTGAAATCCCTGAAGGTGAAATCTATAGTGACTGTTTTGCTTAAGTTGAGACTCAGCAGGGTTTTATTTCTTCACTTATATTTTGTTTTATAGTTTCTGAGTTTAATGGATCACGGTCGGAGCGAAAGACAATTGCATCATCGGCATAAAGAATGGATTTTCCACTGATATTGCTTAAAATGAATAGTAAAGGTCCAATGATTGAGCAAATCTGTCAGTATATTTTGAGTTGACGATCTAACACTATTGTGCTCTACCAGTTGTGATCTGTTTCTTAAGTATTCCAAATATTCGTATAGAATCGAATCAGATAGAGGAATAGGGAAAAGTGATTTTTTTCTGTTCAATCTTGGCACTAGGTAACCTTGTCAGACCGTGAAACTTGTACAGGGTGATTTTTATGGAACTGCCGTTGGATACTGTGAAATGTATAGATAGGAAAATAGGAAACCTTCATGTATGAAGCTCAATAAATATGAATATATCGTTTACAAAACTCAAGATACCAGGAATAATCACAACGGTCGTAACCAACTATTCCTAAAAAATGTCCATCCAATTGATGCAACACGCCGATAAAAAATCTGCAGGTAGCATTAAAAAACGATACATTCAAAAAATCATAACTTTGGCTACGATCATCTGAATCATCCAGTTCGTAAGAACATAATTTCAAAAGATAACTTTGATCGATATCTATACGAAAAAACAGTTTCAAATGTGTTTCATCCAAGAGTAGAAACCGATATAATCTTCTCCATTCACCCTGTATATCTTTGCAGCTGTTTCTATGTCCAAGTCCACATAGAGTTCCGATGGCTCTTCTCTGCTGAACAAATATTTTGTTTGCTTTTGACCTACAGAAGGATTTCGTATGATGCTACACCATGGAAGTTTGCATAATAGGAAATTTCATTACTGAAATGTTTTCCTCTATCCTTATATGAGCTTCTTACTCAAACTGTTTACCTATATGTGCCTTCCAACTCGGTTTTGAATATCTATATCAAAAAATTTCACTGACTTTTCTTTTTATTGTTCTTGCTTGTCAGCATCAGACTTTGTGAATTTTCTTTATTTATCAAGAGCATGTTTGTAGTAAGCCAAATATCAACTTTTGCCAGAACTTGCTCTGCCTGTTGTCTTAGGTCACTTTCATATTTACCTTCCACAACAAAGATAGATAGATAGATGAAGATAGATGAAGATAGATGAAGATAGATGAAGATAGATGAAGATAGATGGAAGATAGAACTAACTTACTTTCAGAAGTAATTATGGAATTACTAGGATGTTGTGTATGAAGGAGAAATTCTTTACACAAAATGAGGGACTGCCAATGGGATCGCCACTTTCTCCAGTCATAGCCAACATATAAATGGAGTGGTTTGAAACTCTGGCCGTTGAAGAAGCCCACAAGAAACCCTGAGTCTGGTTGAGATACTAAACTAGACGCCTTCCTGAAACACATCAACAGCATAAGACCTTCCATCACTTTCACAATGGAGAAGGAAGTCCACAACGAATTGCCAGAATTCTTAGACGTATTGGTGAAGAGGACCAACATTACGTGGGAAACATCTGTCTAGCGCAAACCAAATCACAACAGAAAGTATCTGAACCACTAATCCAACCACCATCGATCTACTAAAAGAGGAACCATCAAGACTTTATTAGACCGTGCTTTTGGGCTCTGTAATATGAAGGAAGGTCTCGAGAAGGAACTAGACGGAATGGTTACTCCAAAGCGATGGTGGAACAGACTTTAGCTAAAAGACAACAGGAGCCTGGCAAAGAAGAAAAGCCGTCACAACCAGTGCTTGCACTTCTCTACATCAGAGGATTATCGGAAAGGATAACATCATCAAAACCTGCTTCGGATTCGGAAACCTAAGCCACCAAACGCGGACTGAGATTCCAAGTTTTGCATTTACCGGATACCCTGTGAGTGTGGAAAATCCTATATCGGTGAAACTAAGAGGCCATTGAAAGTTCGCATTGCCGAGCACAAAAAACACACACAGCGAGGGGGAACTAGCAAATCTCAAGCTGAGATCATACACAGGGAAGAACATTGGTTTAGAAGGGGATTCAAAGAAGCCGCATACATGTTGTCCAACAATGAATTCAGCCAAGCTAGCATAGAGATAGGCAACATATGGAAACCCATAATCAAGCGAAAAATGGCCAACTCCCGCCAAACGGTCGTCTCCCGCTAAACCGGCGAAGCGGAAAAAGGAAAGCGAAGATAAGTGAAAGTACTCGAATGACCAATAAATAGTAATCTCTCGAAGGAATTAGTCCAGTCATCACCTGAAGACGATTGTGGATACTAACAATCGAAACGTCGTGAGGTAACTTGGCTTGGAATCTCTTAATTTTTTGTTCAATTGTTCTATTTTTACTTGTATTTTATTTTACTGTTATTATATTTCGGGGTTTTTTGTTTAATATAATTGTTATGTTCAGTTATTCTTTTTTAATTCTTCTTTTTTATTAGTTTTTTCAGGGATTTCAAATCATTTTATATAATATCAGACAATGAAAGTCCGAACTAATGAAATTCTTCCTGATGAATGCTGTTCTACTGGACTAATCTTTTTTCACTTCGAAATCACTGGTTGAACTGCAGCATCAGTGCTCCGTTTCTTTTCACTCCTTCTATATGTTGGTTCCAGATCAACCTAAGACCTAGACTATATCCCAAANCAGTTATACTTCTTCATCACAAGTATTTTTTGTTCAAATAATCAATACTTTTTGCTCATCCGGTTGGAACTCATTGCCGTTGTGTGGTATCGTGAAATAAAATACTTTGTTATTCGATTGTGCTGACCCTGACTGACGATTAGAACTTTCAACTAAAAGCAGTTCGCAGAAGTTTCCGAGAACTGGTCAATAAATTTGCTTGGGTGATTTGGTGGAATAAAAAAAAACAAATTAGTTTTAACAAAACACATATATTATGTTTTAGAGACACCCAAGATGTTATTGGACAATTGGACGAAAACATTCTTCGGAGGAGGGTCTTATGCTAAATTAACTGACCGCCATGACTGCACCTTGAAACTCCATTGGGTTTTATCTACCTTTAGACAGAATGTTTATTGTGTTAAAATAGCCATTATATTTACAATTCATTTGCAATTCAGATCAAAATCAATAAAAATAGTGTAACTTTTCCAATTTGTCTACTGCCTTAAGTAAATAATGTGATGAGTATTCTACTGATGATGCTAATTTGGTTAGCGAAACCTACTTTGATGAACGGTACATTCATTTTGGTCTATAAAATATTAATGATCTTTATTAATCATTTGAAAATTACAAATTAATTTATACAATCGCAGCTTAATTCTACAATCTCCTGCCGAGTGAATTCAGATCCTACACAATATTCATATAGAATTTGAAACGCACTTCTCTATCATGGTTATGATAGTAAATAAGTATGTTTATAATTATTTTCTTATACTCACTGTATAATTTTTGGGAGGGGTGGAAGATAGCCTTTGGCTAACCCTTTTCCTGCTGAAACTATAAGTTTCTGNATTTATCGTTTTTGATTCTACGAATCAACAAAAAAGAAAGCTCACTTTTGTTAAATTCATGGATTAGTCACAAAAACGGATTAGTACAGCTAAATTAAACAAAAAACCTTCAAATCAATGCGACGAATGTAAATGAAACTTGGAGTATCTACTTCACATTAGAACTAATTTATAGTGAAACTCATATAATAAATTGTATTAATGAGTTTTATTATAGATTTTCATCAAGTATCGGCCAGTTCTATTCAATTATTTCACATTATGTGATAGAAATCTATAACCTAACCTAATCTAACACTTTATTGTGAGATAACACAACCCATGATACACTATACAATACCTTCGTGTTCGTACTAAATTCTAGTAATCAGTGCTTTATACAGAGTGGATCACCCCATACGACACGGTCCCTGTAAACCAAACTATTAGTTTTTACGGTAATTTCTCCATTTCATTATATGCATATGTATATAGATGAAGGCTGCAAAAGAAATTATTTTGGAATCTACAAGGTGGCTCAAAAAAGTGTGAGATGACAAAGGTGTGTTTTTTATGGAACACCCTGTATTTCGTTACACTTTTGAATAGGTCTGGAAAAATTATATGATTTCATGAAAGGTACTACGCACCTAACTATAACTGTTTTCGAGTTATTGATTTTTCTATGAAAATGCTAGATACAATTGGAAATTAAATAACATCGAAATGTATAGAAATCATTCCTTGGAATTCTGACCAATCATAAAAGAGGTTTTGGGCTATTGATTTCGATAAAACCCGTTTCTCAATATCATACAGAATGTGGGTATGCCCAAAAGGTGGTATGCCCAAAAATAGCCAGACCGGAATCATCCAAACAAGTTGGTTTTCAAACGATTGCTACATGAATTTCGTAGGACTGGGGGTATAGCTTATGAAAAGGCAAATAGATCGAAACCTATCATTAGAAATTATTATGGGATCAATCATAGACAACCCTTATACGAGTCAACGTGAGATCGAGAAAGATACAGGAGTAAGCAGACGGAGCATTTCTAGGGTAATAAAAAAAT